CATTTTTTGCTCCATATTGTTTTTATGAGCTTTGGAATATTCACAATTCAAAAGAAGGGAGGAGAAACCCATAGTCTGTAATTTGTTCTCAGTTATAGGTCATTTCCCTTTACAACGAGCTGTCTTTTGATTGGCCGCTCCTCGTAAACTCAAGATTTTAACAGCAAGCGAGGGGACTTCAGTGCTGTGTGTCTGAAATAATCACAATCAGGGTATCCTCTCATCTTGATATCACACAAAGCTGAGATGAGCGTTTAAAGAACTAACATTAGTATTTGAAATGTTGGCTATGGCTAATGTGAGTATCCAACAATGTAATAGTATATAAATGATTGGAAATAAGTTCCCCTTTGAAGATGGGTTTGATTACTTTAGTGTGTTTCCATGCGATCCCATAACTGTTCTCTGTTGTGTGCTGCTGACACCTAGTGGTTATATTCCGGTACTGGCGATACAGTTGGAGATCCCAGCAAACCTTTTCTAAGCCACCAGCCTCGTCTCTTGAAGCAGCTGCATGTTTATCTGTGGATCTGAAAAGGCATTAAGATTGAAAACAATCAGGTCTTTAACAAATAGAAACAAGCTAACACTTTGATCTGCTAACAGTGTGAGTTTAGGTTACACACACTACCAAAAGCAGTTATAAACCAGAGTTAAACTACACTTGTAGATACTGATTAAACACAGGCGGCAGCACTTATTAAAAAATATTGTTAAACCCAGGACGCACTGCACCAGTGTAGGGTCTGACAATGAGTCCAAGGATTTCATCCCAATACGTAATAGCAGTCAGGGTGGCTTTGCCTAACCTGTGGACTTCTGGGTCCCGCTCCATGGACGTGCCTCTCCACACCATCACTGACCCATGGCAAACAAACCAAACTGGTCCCCGCTGCTTATCCAGACCATTTCTGAAGCTTGGGAGCAAGCTCAGGGTGAACCTCCTCTGATCTGTGCGGTTGACCTTCCAGTTCTGGTATTCAGAGGCAAATGCCAATCGGGCTACGTGGCACTGGGCATTAAGCACAGGGCCCAGTAGAGGACGCTGGGCCCTCAGCCCACCTTCATGAAGTCTTTTTCTGATTTTTTTTTTGGTCAGAGAGATTGACACCAGTGTCCTGTTGGAGCTTTGGCAGAGCTCATCATTTTCCTCCTTGCCAAAGGAGTAGATACCAGTCCTGTTTATTGAGTTGAGGACCTGCGGCCCTATCCAGCTCTCCTGGAGTAACAGCCCATCTCCTCCTTGGCACTGTGCTGGGAGACACATCAAAACTAGCCAAATGAACAGTTTACTCTGGTTTGGCTTCAATGTCTGACGACTGATTATTACAAAAGTTTCAAATTTGGGAAATCTGTGTGATAAATTACACAGTATCTGGAAACTCCTTTTATCCCTACACCGAAACCTTCCTCGCCATCCAAGTTGTTATCGTGTGCATCCACTCTACATGTAGTTACATTTCTTGGGAGGTGTACGTCAAGTTATGTAGAAGGTTGCGGTGTAGGGTTAAAATGGGATTCCAGTTATGGCGCAAGTTACAACGTAGATCTGATGCAGATGTAAGCATAAAGGTTGCACACAAATTATCCACAAAATTCCTAAGATTTACAAATATAAAAAAGGTTTCATGCAATACCAATGAGTTTACACCCAATGTTGTCCTTTCAGCCTGAAGACTTTCACTCTTGTCTTCCCACTTCATCATGGCACCATTGGTGGTCAGCTTAATATTTCATAATATTTCTTGTAAAGAAAAGTTGGGTGACCGATTGTTTGTGCTCCATCAGAAATTTGGCCATTGGTATCGGAATCCAGAATTTCCCTGAAGGGCTGGCAGTGAGCCTGCCCCTCCGCGGGTCAGGGGTCTCAACATGGACAGCCTTCTGGTAGGGGAAACACAGGTTTCTACTCACTGTGTCAATCTTCGAACAATGTGCAGCCGCCTTCATCGTTGGTGTTCTTCCTTCAGGTATGGTCAGCTTAGCGGTATGGTGGAGCCTATTGCCGGGCTGCTCGGCGCCGTAGCTGTTGTTCTGGCAGAACCTCTATTGCCGTACGCGTTGGCATTTGCTGCCGGGGCGATGGTCTATGTGGTGGTGGATGACATCATACCTGAGGCGCAAGTCAGGTAAGAGTGCAAAGGAGGAGTTATTTTGGGGGTGGGGGGGTCAAAGCTAGATTACTTGTGCAAGAAGTCTAATCTATTATCCTTTGCTTCAACTTGGCATCACCAGTGGAAACGGAAAGCTGGCATCCTGGACCTCCATCCTGGGCTTTGTAGTGATGATGTCACTAGATGTGGGTCTAGGCTGAGATCACCATGAGGACCGGCGATCCCTCACAGGACATGATGTCGTCATCATGATGCAACTTGTATTTTAAGTAAAAGGGTGACCAAAATTAGTGTTTGATTCTCAAACACTGTTTATGCATTTATTTTTAATTGTTGATCATAAAATTGATCAGGTTTGGAAGGATGATCATACTTGAACTTTTAACTTTTGTCATTCACATTTTAACAGTGATTTCCTGAGAGCAGCTGACATGTTTTTCATGTCTGATATTTTATTAAGGAATTAATTTCTGAATATTTAAATGAATATTCATATTCCAGGGCTGGAGAATGTTTTGTTGGGACTGGGATTGTACCTTTTAAGTTTAGAAACAATATTATAAGTACAGATAATTTCTGTTCTGTTAAGTTAAAATGAATGTGTTGGGTTTTGTTTCGTCCATTTCCCTAATGATCACGATACTTGAACTCTGGTGTTTGGCTTGCTGTTGTATGGGAGTGAAAATAAATAATTACAACATTTCTACATCAGTCGTCTTGTCATCATTAAGAAACCAGACAGTATGATTATGGTGTGTTGAATTATGGCATTTCAAATATGACACTTTGCAGCTACATGCTCTTTAATGGAACATGTTCAACCTAAATATTTCAAACACGCAATCTAATGTCCCGGGATTATGATGCTTTTATTTTGAGATGTGGTGTTGTCGGCATTGATTTGATTTGAACAGTAGTCTATTTTCAGACCTTTTGATTTTACCGTATCATAAGATCTTGTATTTGTTCATCGACTAACCTTTTGTAATCTATGAAAGTACCTCTCACAATAGTGTACAGTGTAACCCATATACAGTGGTGTGAAAAGTGTTTGTCCTCCTCCTCTTGTTTCATCTGAACCACATTAGAGAAAGATAAACAAATAATGCAGTTTCTAAATTATAGTGTTTATTATTAGGGAAAGGGTAAAAATCCAAACCTGCTCGGCCCTGTGTGAAAAAGTGATTACCCACTTAACCTAATAACTGGTTGGCCCACTCTTAGCAGCAACAACTGCAATCAAGCATTTGTGTTAACTGGCAATGAGGCTTTTACAGTATTTTGTACAGAATTTTGGCCGACTCATCTTTGCAGAATTGTTTTATTTCAGCCTCATTGGATGGGTTTCAAGCATAAACCAGCTTTTTAAGGTAATGCCACAGCATCTGAATCAGAGTGAGGTCAGGACTAAGCCAATCCAAAGTCTTTATTTTGTTTTTCTTAAGCCATTCAGAGATGGACTTGCTGGTGTGTTTTGGATCATTGTCCTGCTCCAGAACCCAAGTGTGCTTCAGTTTGAGGTCACAAACAGAAGGTCGAACATTCTCCTTCAGGATGTTTTGGTAGACGACAGGATTCCATTTACCACAAAGTCTATCACACTACCACCACCATATTTTACTGTTGGTATGATGTATAATGGGACACACACCTTCCAGAAACTTCAGCTTTTGTCTTGTCAGTCCACAGAGTGTTTTCTCAAATATTTTTTCCCTTTAATAATAAACACCTTCATTTAGAAACTGCATGTTGTGCTTACGTGTGTTTTCTTAGTCTACTATTTAAATCTGTTTGATGATCTGAAACATTTAAGTATGACAAAAATACCAAAATAATAGGAAATCAGGCCATACTTCCTGGCCATCCAGTGTGGATGTTAGTGAAACTGTTGGGAAGACAACGTTGGAGAGACGTGAACATTTTACTTGTCTTGTATAATCTGCAGATTCTGACAGAAATCTGCAACTATCCTTTGAAGCACCGCTCCTCCCTTAAACAGCAATAAGGATAATACTGAGAGACAGAACAGGTGCTGTCAGCCTGCAGCAAACTTGAGCAGTCTTTCAAATTTAAAGATTGGACTAAACAAGCAGTTCTTCTGCATACAGACTGGTCTCACTGGGAGTTTTTTGTTCAGTTGCTCTGTTGCTGGGGTGATGGGTAGAAGCAGGGTAGATGGTTTGAAAATAAAAGACTTTTATACTTTTACATTTTTTTTTAATTAAAGAATTTTGTTGTAATTTAATGTGAAAATATTGGCTGGCTCTTACAAACAGAAAACTCAAACAGCAGATGGGTGTTGCTCCTGCGCACACAGTCAGCGCTGGGTGTCTTGAGACGACCAGGTCAAGAGAAAAAAGACACGTATGAAGCTGAGCGAACGTCTTTATGTGAAATAGTTCAAATAGTTCAGGATCTGTTAATTATGAGAGCAAATTTGGATTTAGTTCTGATCATTGTCTTTTGACTAAAACTTCATTCAGTTTTAGCCACGATTTAGGAAAAAAATTTACTTGACTAAATGCTACTTAGATTATTGAAGACTAAATCTGAATTTGATTTGAGTAAAATATAAAGTGTAAAAGTCTGTCGTGTTTTTACGGTGAAAGTTGGTCCACATGGTTTACAAAGTGTCTTATTTTCCTTGAAATAAAATATGAAATGTGTCCATCTGTTTGCTCTTGTCTTCCTCCCAAGTGTTGATATTTTGCAACAGGAAGTGTGGGAGCATCTCTTCCTTCCAACGTGTTTGTCATGGGCAGATCAAATTGTCCAAACTCGTCTCGCCTTTCTAGGAAAATTAATTCATTCTGGTTGAAGCTTGTCTCTCCTTTTTCATTCATTCATTTTTATTTGTCAAAGAAAGTGCCGAGACATTCATTATACTTTTTTTTACATTCGTTTTTATTTATTTATTGTTTTGTTTCCATCAGGAATAACATGAAGAGATTTATTAGTCAATGATATTAACACTGATGAGGAACCACCATTGTGCTGTAACCCAGTCTTACTTATTTGGCATGTTTGGACCAATTTAAGGAAGTAACACAATGATGAAGAGAAACATGTATGACTTTGTTGTTGCAGAGTCATTCACACACTAGTAAAAGCAGATATAAACCAAACACAGACTACAGTACTTGTCAAATCTATCCTTCAAGTTTATATTTTGGTGATTCTGAAAAGCGTCAAATTCAGCATCCACTCTCTAATAATTATGGTCATTAACTCTGTTTTATGACTCTAATGGAACATCAATGCATTGGTAAAAAATGTAGATCATAAACGGGGTTGTTATACTTTATGAAATAGGTCTGTGGGCCACTTTTTAATTTCAGGAATTCATCTAAGGAAAGCTTAGGAATGTAATTATAGACACGTTTCCCTTCCATGCAGAGCTTAAATCATGATTTTTACAAATATAGATGGGCTTTTGAATAAAACCAATTTACAAGATAGTAAACATGTTATTCAAGTCCTGAGAAAGTAACAAATATTGGTGCGATGGCACAAAGGTTTAAAACCAAACTCTACCCATATTCTTTCCAATTGTATATGGCTTATCCATTTACTTTAAACAAAATCCAAATTACAAAGTGCTTCACATGAGCAACTAAAAAAAAACACTAAACCAAACACACAAACACAAAGCCATCAGAGAGCAGTATATTGCAGTAAAAATGAAAGAGATTTAGGACAAAAGAATTGGGAAGACCAACTGACTGGCGACTGATTTTCTTGGTCAGATTGGTTTCACTGGCCGAGATAAAAAATATATTTTCCTCCACTGGATTCCCGGGCCTGTAGATCAGACTGGACCCTTACATAACTGTACTGGCCACAAAAAAATTACTTGTTTCAAATATTTTAGTTTATTACTTGTGGCTTGATGCTTGACGATCAAAATCCGGTTTTGATAACAAAGTTAGCATTTTGCCTCACAAGAGCTGGAATATTTCTTTGCAGTTTTGAAAAATAATCCCTCGTCCAGGAAATCTGAGGTTTAGAAAACAGAACCTCTATTGCCCTATTGATCCTTTGAGAATCATCACCATTTATAAGCAAGGTCTTGAATTTCTCCATCAGACGGTTCATGTCCTGCTGATAAATCTGTGCCGCATGCACGGCTCTGGATCCATCAGGTTCTCCTGCACTTTGTAGACGAGCCTGATGGATCAGCATCTGTGTGTGGAAGGCAGCTCCATTCACCCACTGCTTCAGAAACTGAGTGTCCATATGTTCATCTATCAGCATGGAGTTCTTAGAAAAGAAATTGGAGTACACGGCATCATAGGGTTAATTATGAACATTTCTATACATTAATACTTCTGTAAAATCCCCTATTCAGGGATGATTTGTTACAAATGAAAGCTGGCAGCTTCGTACCTTTAGCCGTGTGAGCTGGGCACTAAGAGCAATCTCAATTTGACGGGTGTCAGAGAGTTGAAGTTGTGGGTTTCTCAGGTTGATCTGCATACGCTTCAAATACTCGTGCATCAGATCTCGCACCTGCACAGTTAAGGAGGAATGTTAACGTTCATTAGGGCAAATTTTGTGTGTTGATCAGCAGGACTTTTTTTTTACAAGGAAAAAAAGTGAATTAGTTTATTTAGCTACATTACGCATCCCAATGAACACCACTTTTAAGTGCTAACTTCTTAAGTTCTTACCTCCTTGGCCTTCTCCTGTGTGAACACCCTCTCTAACATTTCAGCTGTGCCCATTGTTTCTTTGTTTAGGCTTTTGGCGACCACGTCTAAGGCCAAGGAAATGATGAGAGCTCCCAGTCCGACAGAATTAGGCACCACGCTGAGCCCACCTAGAACATTCCCCACCTCTCTCACAACAGATGCGACCTGTTCTCCACGGTACAAGACCTGGTCTCTGTAATTGTTCAGCTCTTCAGCTGAGTTGAGCCCAGAGAATCTCTGCAGGGAACTGAGAGGACATTTTTTTCCCATTAGTTTAGCACTCTACAAGAAACTCTTACTGAGTGGGGGAAAAATTAGCTTGTGCTTTTATTATATTTTAATTAACTATTGATTACTTTTACTGCCCATTTTATTTCAGTTTTTGAAAGGTTCAGTTTGCTCCTATGATCACTAACTTTGCAAATGTTTAATGCTAAACACAAAGTGCTTGGTATTAACAACAAAAGAGTGTTAAAAGAATGCTCTACATGAAAACTCAACTGATTAACAAAATAAATGAATTTACATTGAAATCATGTATGTCTCTCATCGTTAGCATGAAATGTCAGTTTAGAATGGAACGTCATCATGTCATTATTTAAAACTGAATGAAGAAAGGGATGTCATCATGTAGAACGGAATGTCCTATTTAAGAATGGAATACCGTCTTGAACGGAATGTTATCCTGTTGATGGAACTTCATCTTGCTGAACAGAATGTCATCATTAAAACTGGAACGTAATCATGTCAAATGGAACGCTAAAGGACACTAGTTGTCTTTTGGTTGTGGAATTGCTTACCTGTCAATTTTAAGTTCATCCAGTTGTAAAACATAGAATGATATATTAGCAAAGATTTCACAGGCCATCTCCTCCTGCTCTGGAGATAGTGTTTGACCCATTTCCTGTTTAGTTGCTGTCATGAGAGCAACAAAGTAAAAAAGCTTTAATTTTTTTTTTACATTATCTAAGACAGAATCTTTAACAATCTTTGAAATCATAAACATGTTTTTTTGAAACTTATTTAAATGGACTTTCCCCCTTGTTTTTTCAATGGTTTAACAAGAAGATTTCTGTCTTTCTTTCTTGTAGAACAACAACCAGCAAATATATATATGTATG